ATACACGTACTCAACTGCGACCGAAAGCACAACCTCACTACACTTTTGTATAGCATCTGTGCACAAAATCCAACCGGCTAACGCAAGAGAAAACCGGGGGAATATCAATGAACGCATGCTATTCGGAGGACGATATCTCTTTTAAACCGGAAACCCCGTCTTCGGTGTATGGGGAAACCCGGTACAAATTTTTGTCGGAATTTCGTGTGTGGAATCAGAGACACGGAGAAAAACAAAACGGATATAAGTGTAAACACCACAGGTTAAGAAAGTCAGGGAGTGTTAGTGAAAATTTTCACGAATTCGTTATGGGGATAGCGACCAGATTTCACTTCATGTGTAACGTGGTTAGATAAACCTCTCGTTGGATGTGATCGTTACATCTCCATGTGAGGGAAGCGAGAAAATAGCGGGTGGAAGACAAAATCAGATGCTGTTGAGCGTGAATACACGCATGAACACCACCAGATTGTTGGGGAGGGGGTGAGGAATGATGCACACCCAGCCAAGGGCCGGGGGAGGGTAAGAACGGCTTACTGGAAGCTTCAACTTGACACTTGGGATCGGTCAAGACAACCACTTCGACTGAACGCATACAGAATGAAAAAAACCAAATATATGTTTAATGAATACAGTAGAAATATCGAACGAACTAAGTGACACAGAAGGCTACTAGATACATGTGGAAATCACAATCTCAGTGAAATCAAAGGTCAAACTATGGCATCAGGCCATATAGCAAATTTTGATTTATACCACTGTAACTTCAAGTACCCCCCCCCCAACTGTTCCACCTCTTCGGTAGTAATACTTCACACTCGGACCACAATTGTCAATTTGGTAATTTATTTTTTTCACAATTCCAGTTGGTCGACCGAATGGGACCCGCTGACGTCGAGTGTTTGTTTGCTGAACAGATGAGCGTTCCCCGGGGAATGGTTAATCGGGCCACGACTGCACCAAAAGTCTCAAACACGAATGATAATTTATTCATTAAAAAGGGGAACACCTGACTCCGAACGACAGTGTCACAACCGATATCAAGCGCACGAGGATTTGAGTGAATGGTTACATCTTACATCTTGGTTGGGTTCATGGTCCTTCGTTGCCTATCTGCCCTGAAATTTTGTTGTAAACTCAAACCACGAAGAACCTGACGATCTGTCACTGATTCCTTACCAAGCCCTTAGTTCCCGATATTCGTTGAGATCCCGTATAGTCTTACAAATCCTGCCCCTTTTACCCATGTCGTGATTCGGGCAACCTCCTGTCAGACGCGAATAATACGAGCTGGGGAGCATAGTATAATGAATACGTATCAACGCCGCTGTGGCTCGAGTATGTTCAATAGTGCTGTAACGCTATCCATTAAATGGATGAAGTATTATGCTCAATGTTATGGCACCACAGAAACATGCAAGTGATGAATTTATAATTTAGGACAGTTTCGCTGAATGTTTGAATGTTATCAACACTAGGGCCTCCGAAAACCCTAGCTAGCATGGTTCAGGGGTGGATGTTTTGGAGAAGGGCAGGTCACTCTTCCCTCCGTTGAGAAAGTCCTACTCATTGACTTCCCGCCGCGGTGTTTTCCCTCCAGAGTGAGGACGAAAAGCCAACATCGGGGTTGGTGGAACCACTGGTAGTTCAACTAGGGGAGTTAGCTGAAAACCCTGATTCCCAACCAACCAAGAGGAGGCGTACGAACCACACACATTTACATCTTCCTGCTTGTGGCAGTGGGCCCCAGCTCGATTGAGTATCAGGTGCACTGGGCACCTTGGACGTTTGAGCCCGTGCAAAGGGCGTACGATCCGACGTATTGGACAGCGGTTTCTGCGCACCGCACCGCTACGTTGCGGGTCAGACCTCGAATAATCAAAGGCTCCGGTTGTGAATTTACCAGCCTTAGCATGGACAACCTAGTGTCCACTAATAAATCATGGAACTTTTATACAAGGATTATTGTAACATGATTTATTTGGCATTTAGACGGGTGTGACATATACATATACATATACATATATATATATATATATATATATATATCAACTCTAAGCACCCTACGGTTAGACGGCGATAGAGGCAAGATAAGAACACA